AAATTAGCTTAATAAAACCGCCACAGGCCTAAAGTGTAAGCAGACGTTTGAGTGTTTAGTTCTCTCTTCTATCATAATTAAACAGGGCTTTCATGTTGCGCGTGCTGAAGCTTCTCCGCGTGGGCGCGATCTTGCTTCTGAATTGCGAATAGCAAAAATGCATCATAGGCAAATGTTTGAAAAACAGCTGCCGACTCTGGTGAGATAGAATTTGCAAGATAATGTATATAGCAATAATAAATGTATGTGTGTTTTATTAATTTCTCCAGTACCGATAGCAGAACCGTTAACGTCAGAGCTTATCGATACTCCGGTCTTTCATAATTTAGCCCCGGGACCGATTAAATACCGGGTTTCGGTACCCATCCCTAATGACAATGCAATGTTTTTCTCATAAAATACGTTTTTATCACCAATTTTATTTTTGTCAAGAGGTCTCTACCACAGAAATGGTCAGACTTTCATTTTGGTCTCACCATCGAATGTTCCCCTAAATAGAATCTCTCACATATCTTTGGATGAACTCCAGTCATGATATGAAATTCTTTCCCCATCACACAAGCCAGATTTATGGAGGGTGTGAGCTATTGTTGTCTCATGCACACTTTCTTTCATTTCAGTTATGGAAGTCCATAACTCCATACAGCTGCCTCGGGCCTCTTGGTGGCCCCCTTTACTGAAGCCCTTCCTACTTAGACACTCAGATTTGATGGATGAACTCATTTTTGTTCCATATTTTCTTTGTTTTTAATGACTTAGGACTTCCCTGTGCTTCAAGGTATATTCCTTGTTTCGTAGACCCTTTTGCTGACTGGTATTTTTTAAAGGACCTTGTCTCAGATTATAGTTGAATGTTCCCTGCTCTTTATTGCACTGTTTCCTTGGAAATGTGTGGGTGTGCTGCCGGACAATGTTGTATTTATAGTGAAACCATGTGAAACATCTAATGAACACAGGTTTTGTCATGAGTAGCAAATGTTCTTAATGAAACGCCAGGTTCGATGCTGTAACATAATAAAATGTGAAAACCCAAGGGAACCCAAGGGAAACACTTAGCCACTCTAATTAGCTCAATATGACTGCAGACCATTAACAACACCTCAAGCCCAGTTACATGGCAGATTGTTTGAGCCATATATAACTGCAGGACACACCTCATTTCCTGTGTTTCCAGCGCATTTCTAATAGCCTCTCTTTGTTGAAATGTGTTCAACTGAATATCAATTCACATCAGGGTTTGAGATAATATGGCACATGCCAAATATTTTAATATCTCTCTGAATAATTTAGTTCTTCAAACACATGAAATTATAATAACTGGACTGGGTTGTGTGAGATAATTGCGTGTTCCTGCTTTTGTTAACACAAATAGACACAAAGTCATCAATTCTGCTGTGACTGCGATTGGAAATATTTTGGTTGGCGAAGTAAAAAGAAATAAACAATGTAACTGACTGAATTTTGTCTAAAATGTACGTTTTGTACAAAGGTTGCTGAAATTCAGCTTTGCAATCACAGAAATAAATTAAATTTTTAAATATATTAATATTAGGACTGTCAACGTTAACGTGTTAATGCAATTAGCACAAAATTACTGAAGCACAATTTCTATTCTAAAACGTTTTACCTGATTTTACCTGATCTCTGTCTGCAATCAAATAATTTTAAGCTGCTAAACTCTGGGAAAGTTTTCAGTCCAATAATCCAGTAAGCCAATGCATTGAAACAAAAGTCCAAAACAGCGCTAATACTGTAGAAAGAAGAACCAGGCTGATTACATCAGAGAATAGAGCCCTCACGCATCGCGCTGTGTGAAATACAGACTGAACGGAATGTCAAAACATCCCACTGCTGTATGTAAGCAAACGTCTCAGGTTACTTATGTAACCATGGTTCCCTGAGTAGGGAACGAGACACTGCGTCCTCTAGGGGTCGCTATGGGGAACGCCTCGTTGTGACCCGTGTCTGAAGCATACATTGAAAAAACACCAACTCGTTGGCCGTTACTTTGCTTTTTGGAATGCACGCTTCAAACAGACCGGTCAGTGAAGACGAAGAAGAGAATGATGTGTGCTCCCGGCGCCTATTTATACTATAGTCGCACCTGTAGTGACGTCATGGCTGTCGCCGGCCAACGAGTTGGTGTTTTTTCAATGTATGCTTCAGACACGGGTCACGACGAGGCGTTCCCCATAGCGACCCCTAGAGGACGCAGTTCGAAGTTCCCATGAAAGGGAACTAAGTTTTTATGGATGAGGATAGATGAGCAATGCGCCGCAAGTGTTTTTGCTAGTTTCAGCCCGACGCAGTTCTCATTTTCCCGTCCTGCGCCGCGTTGTTTAAATAGCAAATGCATTTGCGCCCATTTGTCTAAAAAAGAGGTGTGTTTAGGCGCATTGTTGGTGCGTTGTTATTTTGGGGAACTGAAAATAGACTGCGCCATAGACCAACTCAAACCTGGTCTAAAGTCTGGCGCAATATTTTTTCTTTGTTATTTAAACAGCGCATTAGTAATATGCGCCTATAGGCACACAAACATTTTTAAATATGAAAAATTACATTCCGCCATGTAAATAGCGAACTCGCCATGGCGCGAGCACAACTGGCTTTTAAAGGGGATGGGAGATGAGAGTCTGCACGTAACGCTCAAAAAACACCCATTACTCATTAAGAGAATAGGGACAACCAGCTTAGACCGTGTGCCCGGGTGCGCCGACCGTTTTCCCGTCGTTAAACTAGCAAAAGTGGATTCGGACACACCCTGAGTGCACCTGCGTCATGAGCTTTAGACCATGTGCTTAGATCGTTAAAATAGGGCCCTTTGTATTTAAGACACATTTCAGTACATTCACAATGTTTCCACACACATTCAGGATAATTATTTTGATTTGTCATGTGTATGTTGCTGTGTGTAGTCATTCCGAATGGATCCACGTACTGCAGTAGGTATATGCAGTCTACTGTACTATACACTATGAATTCTGAAAGGTTATTTCAGTATTTTTTTGTTTATTTTTGTTTTTTTATGTGTGCTTTAATGTGCACAAATGTATCAAGTACATGAACTTATATCACTTGGTTCTTTGGTGTACTTTTGGAGTCTCTAAGTGTTATTTATTTTAAAAGACATCCACATTTTTCTTGAAATAAACTTGCAGAAAATACATTTTTGTAAGGCTACGTTTACACTAGTGTGTTTTCATTTTAAAATACATAACTTTTGCTACGCTTACACCTGTCGTTTACACTACTCCCGACGTTTTTGACCCTCGAAAACGGAGACTTTTGAAAACGCTGCAGACCCCGTTTTAGTTTGAAAACTCCGGGGATGCATTTCAGTGTAAACGGACCAAAGCGAACACTTTTGAAAACAATGGCGTGGCTGCCCACATTCTCTCTGCGTATCCTTGATGACCATGTAAACGATAACATAATGCATATTGTTGTACCCATAGATTTGTATAGGTAGATTCCCCTTACGACCGCTCCAAGCACACAGACGCGTCCGCCATCTAAACAATAGGGAATCTACCTATACATATCTATGGTTGTACCTGCATGAATGGTCATGTGACATGCGTTTTCGGTTGTGTAGTGTAGACTGAAATCGTTTCTGAAATGCAGTGAAAACGCCAGTGTAGACAAGGATCGTTTTCATTTTAAAACGAAAACGCACTAGTGTAAACAGGGCCTAAGACCCTTCAATCTTTTGGTTTACTTTGCTGGATATAGCGAATAATCGGTTTTGTAGTGTAGACTGAAATCGTTTCTGAAATGCAGTGAAAACGCCAGTGTAGACAAGGATCGTTTTCATTTTAAAACGAAAACGCACTAGTGTAAACAGGGCCTAAGACCCTTCAATCTTTTGGTTTACTTTGCTGGATATAGCGAATAATGACAAAATGAACATGTTAAACAAGATAAATGGTACATGCTTAATTTCATGATAAGTGTGCGATTAATCACACAAAAAGGGTGTGATTAATCTGATAAAAAAATTTAATTGATTGACAGCACTAATATAAAATTCTGCTAAAAAATCATATAAAATTCTGCTAAAAAATTTAACATTTTAATTGATTGACAGCACTAATATAAAATTCTGCTAAAAAATCAGCTTTGCATCACAGAAATAAATCACATATATTTGCCATTTACTGTATGTTACTGTATTTTTGATTAAATTAATGCAGTCTTGGTGAGCATGAGAGCCTTCTTTCAAAAACATTTTTTTAAAAATCTTACGAACTCCAAACTTTTTGCTTCAATGGGGTACTGCTAAGTCGTTGCAATCTCATTCCATTTTCAGGGAATCTACCTATACATATCTATGGTTGTACCTGCATGAATGGTCATGTGACATGCGTTTTCGGTTGTGTAGTGTAGACTGAAATCGTTTCTGAAATGCAGTGAAAACGCCAGTGTAGACAAGGATCGTTTTCATTTTAAAACGAAAACGCACTAGTGTAAACAGGGCCTAAGACCCTTCAATCTTTTGGTTTACTTTGCTGGATATAGCGAATAATGACAAAATGAACATGTTAAACAAGATAAATGGTACATGCTTAATTTCATGATAAGTGTGCGATTAATCACACAAAAAGGGTGTGATTAATCTGATAAAAAAATTTAATTGATTGACAGCACTAATATAAAATTCTGCTAAAAAATCATATAAAATTCTGCTAAAAAATTTAACATTTTAATTGATTGACAGCACTAATATAAAATTCTGCTAAAAAATCAGCTTTGCATCACAGAAATAAATCACATATATTTGCCATTTACTGTATGTTACTGTATTTTTGATTAAATTAATGCAGTCTTGGTGAGCATGAGAGCCTTCTTTCAAAAACATTTTTTTAAAAATCTTACGAACTCCAAACTTTTTGCTTCAATGGGGTACTGCTAAGTCGTTGCAATCTCATTCCATTTTCAGTTCATCCTGATCCTAAGCAGTTTGAGCTTACAGACCTGTTGCTACAACAACATGTCCAAAATGAGCTTCAAAGAATGGAACAACCTAAAAATGCGTGAAATCCTAAACAATGAAATCCTGTCAACTCAGTAATCCAGATACAGAGTCTAGAAATTTGTGCATATGTGTGAGAGTATTATTTTTTAACCTGAGGCATAGGTTGTGGGAAATCTCAGCTGGACAAAGGTTTGCGCCCAGGGACAGGTTACATGACTGGCACACCATCTATTCACTTTGAGTCCTATCTGTCATGCCTTGGGCTTGCACATCGCCTTTCCCTGTCGATTCTACAAGCATGCAGTATCACACCAGCACAGAGGATCCGGCTCATCGCGCAAACTCAAAGATCAGCCTGATGCCAAGTTCTGATCCATGCTGACAACTGGCGAGAAGACTTAGCAAGTCATTTAACTCGCCCTGTGTGGACAGTCTTCTAAAATAAAAGCAACATAAAGACAAATAAAGGAGTGAGCAAATAGGACACGATCCGCAGCATTCTACCTAATGTGTCCGATCTGAAGAGCAGTAATAATGTGAAGGGTGGATAAAAAGAAGGGCTATGACAAGCATGCTGAAGCAAGGTGTCTCCTAAGAGGCTGGTGGTCTCTGATCACCTCCAGCATTCTCATTATGTGCAGAGTACTGAGTAGTACCAGCCCCTTACAATGGCATCACTATCCAGATAAGGCAGATGCTGACTCTCATTAGAGGCGAGAACATGCAGAAATGCATTAATCATATCAGAGAGAGAAATCCATTTGACTTTGCTGTCTTCAAACATGTAACAAGCATGGTGTTGTGGGCGGGGGGAAATGATGTGTATATAATAGGCTCTGTACTGTATGTCTGAGAGTGAATGGTTGATGTGACATTGTTTTGCTTATTAGCCATGTCTGTGATGGGTGACAGGATTATTCTGTCAGCCTGATTCTTGTTTCCTGTACTCTTAGTGACACTTCATACCACCAACACCACATTCTATTCTCTCTCTTTGCTCTAGGCCCACTCTCATCCTATAGACTAAAACTTTGCACCCTGTCAGATGTGTATGTGTTAGCTCAGTGTTATCACTTTCTCTTATAGAGTTGTTCAGTTTATAACCTAAAACTGATAAGAGAAAAAGCTTTTTTTTAAATCATGCTCCCTTGGGAATCAATGAATGTTTTTAGAATGGTGGTTTTTGACTTTTAACATGAATTACTCACACCTCAAACGTGAATTTTGAAGCTACTAATAAGTTGCTAACGGGCCCGCTCATGATGTTCTCGAAGCGGCGGTACCCGCTCATGATGTTCTCGAAGTGGCGGTGCCCGCCCACAAGGCTCCGGAAGTGGCGGTGCCCGCCCACAAGGTTCCGGAAGCGGCGGTGTCCATTCACAAGGCTCTGGAAGCAGCGGTGGCCGCTCACAGTTCCCCCGAGGCGGCGGTGCCCGTTTTTCGCAGATAGTCATGTTATCTTATGCTTTGAATAAACGTGCATTAGTAATATTTTGCTCGATGCGCCCTCTTGTGGCCTCAGAAGAGAAGCCAAAAGCTTTTCTCCACCCTAACTGAAATTATGCATTTTAAATTAGAATATAATTCGAATTTTGATAATATTTAAGTACAAAATTCGAATTTAGTTTTTCAGCCATTTTGACAGCCCTAGTAAAAGTAGCTGCTGAAAATTCAGCCTTGTCATCCCGGAAAATATATTAAAATATTTTTGAAAATTTATGTATTTATAAAAAAAGTTCTTTTTTTTTATTTGCACCCTATTTGTGTTCAAATAAATGCAGCCTTAATACTTAAATACGAAACCTAATAAAAAAATAAAAAATCTTACCAACCCCAAACATTTTTAGGTTAGGAGTTTGGCATGCTAAAATATTCTTTCAGTCATTAAATCTTGTTGGAATGATGCAACTTTTGTGAAAAGGCTGCAGGGAACAATCAAAAATCAACAACAGAAGTTCTGGGTGAGTTCATGCAAAGGACACAAATCAGAGAATTTGTGGCATACTGAAAACTCGTTGCGAAAATTATTACTGTAGCCGAGTATGGTTTGTCAGATGTTAGTTGTTTGTATCTTTTTGTCATTGTGTCACTGGTAATTGTTCATGAACAGACATGACCGTCAACAAACTCAGATTAATTGAAAAGTCACAATAATGCTTTGAACTTTTCATTGTCAAAAAAAAGAAAAACCGAGTCA